GCCTTTTAGTTAACAAAAATAAAGTAACAATAAAATAATGAGAGAGAGAAGATACCACGGTGAGTTCCTGCAGATTTATCTGTGCAGTCCAGACTCAGATGCTAAAGGCCAAGAACTATCATAAACCTGTTCATACCTTATTCTTACTGTTTCCTGAGACTTTCATATCCATCGCCAGGCATCCTGCCCATCATCTTCTCTGTTTTAAACCCATAAACTAATGTTGCTCCCTTTTTTTCCTCAAGGCTTCTCACATGTCCAGACAGGATCTAAACCTTGCTTCTTTTTTGTACACTGTAATTCCTGACATCATACTAGATGCTTGGGCTTAATCATGAAGTCTCATCTCCATTTTAAGACATATTACAACCTTAGATGCGATATTAAATTGGTATCTCATGGGGAAATGTGCTTGCCCCTAACAGTTCTCACAGGCTTACATTTTAATAGTGGAGAATAGATTTACCCATATATATATATATATACACGTTATTTTTTTCTTAAAACAAAACAAAAAAACCCTACTACATACCTGGTAAGTATTGTCAAAACTATCATACATAAACCTGGTGATCAGAGAGGTCTTCCCAACTAGAAAAAGAAGAGAAAAATTACTTTCAAGCAGCAATGGAAAAAACAACCCGCTGCTTTCAAAGTGACACGGTGCTTGCGCTGAATTTCAGAATTAAGTTCTCAAGCTAAGAATAATTCCCAGCTTCACCTTCCTGCAAAATAATTCATTCACAAAATGACACAAGTATGTTAAGCCAAATCAGTCTCAGTAGGTCAAAAAAAATTAATCACGATGAAAACCTGGTCCTCAAATTAAGTACGCTGTGATGCGTGTGACAAAGAATTACTTGTTTTAAGCAAACAATAAATCTGCTTTGTTACTCCTAATTTGCTACTTATGTAATCAGCAAATCTGGGACTTACAGGCATAAAAACATCAAAACAAGAGGTGGTGATGTCCTGGACACTATTTTTCTGTCTCTGGATGGATAGAAAAGCAACATTCAAGATTTAGATCCTTTTCTTCATAACAAGGTTTTAGATATAAACTTTGGTAGTTGGCTTGTAAGCTTTACATTTATGTCTCCAAATATTAGCAAGAAACAAAGCGCTGAACTGACAAGAAACGGGAAGCAAAGATAATCTCAGAGTCTCTGAGGAAAATACAAAGGATGTGGATGGAAGAGAAGAGGGAAAAGGAACAAACTGCCTAGAAAGGTTGTGGGATTGTGAACACTGGAGAGGGTTAAGAACAGGTTAGACAAATGTTTGTCAGCAGCAATGCTGATCCTGCCTTGGGAATTAAGGGAATTAAAACAACTTCTGGAAATTCCTCCAAATTTGAGTGCTCTGAGGAGCTCTGAGGGACTGAGGTAAGAGATCTAAAGAGAATAATACAACACATACCACCATTTCAAGGAAAAAAATCCTTATAGTATGAGGAAATAGGTACAAAAGGGAGGCAGCTTCCAGGTAAAGCACTGAACTGCAGCTGTGGGGCGGGCAGACAGCCCTGCTTTGCCCGGTATTTTCTCTCTGCCACACGGATGCGGCCACAGACCCGCATCTCATCCCGCATCTCACCCCGACACC